TCTTGGTAGATTTGCGAGTTGAATTCATAAGAATCGTTTGCAGTTTTAAAATCACGTTCGATACGCAATTATTGGATGAGACTGTGAATTACATAAAGAATTACAATGTATGCAGATCGAGGATTCTGTTTTACTATTCATTCGTAATTAGAACCGTATTTCCTCAATAATAAATGCACCGGTGTTTGTTTTGAAATAATGGCCTGCTGGATCCGGCATTTGTTTGAATCTGCAGGTAAGGACTCTTTATTTTTGTAGGAAAGGGCTCGTCCTTTTTTTGTTAACAGTTGCCTTTTCTCTGACCAGTAAATTCATTGTGTGCAGATCGGGGGTGGGGGGTGGGGGAAGCTACTTCCCATGCATTCTCTTACATGAAACCCAAAAGATGTTCTCACAACTTGCAAAGCGATCAGCAAGGGTCTTGCCAGCGGATTTGTGTACTGATCATGCGCATTACCTCAAAAACCATAGATCAACGGTCTTGAGAAAAAACAAAAACATGGCAGTCGAAGGCGGGACTGTTTCTCACTATTATATTTTGGTAATTCGCAAATTTATTGATTTTATGTCACTTTTCAGACATAGTGTGTGGTTTTCTTTTTCTGTTAAACAATTTCCCTTTGCAGAGTTTGGAATATTCAACATATAGCTAACTCCGTATAGCTGCTAAGAAAAGGCCGCAGAAGAGTTGAGCTATCGAGCAGTGTTTTGCTGCAAACCTTAAGAAAGTTAAAGTCGCTTCAAGGTACAGAGCTTTCAGTAGTAGTTGTGATTTGTTTTAGGATCGTTTTGAATTTTAACTTTGGATTCAAGTTGTTGGCTGATCGAAATAAACGAAGTGAAATGTTATGAAGCGTTAATTTTTATTCAATTATGATATGTAGAGCAGTAAGCTCATATTTATAAAGCTTTCTTGAATATACTTGCTTCCGATAAATTTGACACTTGCTTCAGTAATTTTTATCAGCATCAAGTTATCCTTGTCCGGCAAAAACGATGTAACCTGTAAATATATCCATCGAGCGCGTTGTTGTTGGTTAAGATCCTGCACGGTTTCTTTTTAGTTTCCCCCGCATTTCAGTACCGAAAGACAAAATACGGTATGCAAGAAAAACAAAGTTGCATGATATAATTTTTTTAAATTTTTTAAGCATTTCTGATTTCCTCTGCCGGTTCGCTTCAATTCTTGCTTCTAAAATATTTACTGTGGGAAAAATACTCTAATTATCCGCTGACCACCACGCTGGGTGTCCGCTTTGAAAGTAGTGAGAACATCGTTTCTCGGTTCGAGACCTCGTCTCTCCCAACAACCCGGCTCCTGATTGGGCACAAACATGCTTTGTATTATTGTGCCCAGTCGTCGAACAGTTTCTCCTGAGTTCTTTTCGTGAGATCGTACACGACGGAAATTGTCTCGCCACCCTTTCTCTCGTTCACCAAGCTTGTAGCTGCAAGGGAAACTTTTTATTTTCTACTTTCCTAACCAGAAACGAAGGAGCTACCTCTAAGTCGAAAAAACGTTTGGGATGCTATTAGCAGGACCAATTTAATTTTGCCCGAGAATATTCTGTTTTTGACGGATCACAATGTATCGTAAATAATAGGAAGTTTAAGGCTGCGTGCAAACGGGCGCAGCAACTCCCGACATTGTTGCGCCAACAATGTTGGGAGTTGTTGCGTGCGTGTTGGCAGTGGTGTGCAAACGGATGCAACAACTCCCAACAGGTTTGGGACCTGCAGTGCATCGTGGGAAGAATACAACCCATAAGTCTTTGTAATCCATGCGTAATGAGCGTGCGTGGCCCCAACAATGTTGGAAGAGCTGCGCAAACGGATCCAACATTGTTGCAGTAGGCTTCGGCGATCACGGAACAAAAAAAAAAATGTTGGGAGTTGTTGGCTGACAAGTTTGACTGGTCTCAAACTTTGCGCAACAACACGCAGCAACATCCAACAACATGAAACAGGGTGTGCAAACGGACGCAACATGTAACATCCAACAGTGTTGGGAGTTGTTGGCCAACAATGTTGCGTCCGTTTGGACGGGGCTTGAGATGCGGGCGGCGACGAGAAAGTCAAATAAGCAATAGCTTGACAAAGCAAAACAACAACTTTGCACGTGCCTAATTTCACCTTTTGTCAGCAATGACAAAATTCATTCTCTTCATGAACTCAACTTAGTATGTCTACTTATATTAGCAAGCTCTGTAGCTCAGCTTTCTTTCATCTACATAACATCAGTCGTAATCGCAAGTTCCTAAGCGCCGTCGAAACTAAGTCCTTGGTGCATGCATTCGTTGCTTCTCGCGTTGACTACTGCAATAGCCTTTTGTATGGTCTACCTGCCTGGCAGCTTAGCAAGGTTCAGCGTGTTTTAAACTCTGCGACAAGGCTTGTTTGCTGCGCTCCGCACTTCGGCCATATTATACCACTGATGTATGAGCTACATTGGTTTCCGTTAAAGTAGCGAATTCACTTTAAGATTTTGTTATTTGCATTT